TCACTTATGCCCGATTTCACCAACGTCATCTAAGTTTTAAGGGATCCCCTAAGCATGGTTAGGGGGCTGTTAGAGGGCAGTTTCTGTTTCACCGACAGTTAGGGGTCACCTAAATATTAAAAGGCCCCCTAAATTTAGGTGCTCGAAATATGGGCTTAAAGACGATCGTAAAACGAAATTTAATTTAGGGGCTAGTTTAGGAGACTTTTAAGCTAGGGATCCCATACGTAGGTGGTAGCTTATGGGTTGTTGGTGAAATCGGGCATTAATCACATAACATTTCGGAAATTCGCGATCCACATTATCAAATCTTTTATTTCTTAATTTTTTTAGAGTTTAGCTCATCGGATTCGAACATGATCGTGGGACTCTTACGTTAGATTATTTTCGCCGCAATCTCGTTACTTAATCGATGGCGACATCAGTCAAATCATCTTAACCAATATATCTTAATTGTTATGTTAATATGTTAAGTGTTTCCAAGACGACATCCGAATACAAGTACGATAAATCAATTTCACTCGCCAGCTTTCGCTATTATTGTTTATACTTTCTATTGCATAGGCAACGTTATTTATTATCCAATAGCAACATTTCATGGATTATTCAACAATTATGTTACCAATTTATTATTGTTTAGATCAGTTTTAATTAATTCTATTACATATTCAATAATATTCTGCTGCTTCAAAACATGAATCTTGTAACATAAACTATTAAATATTACGAAATATTAGAAATTATGTTTAATTATTATGAAATAAACTTTAAATGGTTAAGGAAAAACATGAAGTCTGAAGATATCAACCTAGATTAATATAAATTATTATCTAAAGCAATTTTTAGACTATCAATATCAATAAAACCTCTTTCGCCATCAACAATATAAGAGAAGCCACAACAGGTTTATAATATATGACCATAAGTATAAATTTTACGTAGATATAATATAATATACACAGATATTTAGATATTAGGTATTTGATATTACAGTATACACATAAACTGTCTCCATATCAAATTTCACAAAAATCTGATGAACAAGTAACAACAACAGACTCATTCACAAGCTTTCTCATTCATAACATTAATGTGATTAAAAATATGTAGGTAATACCTATTACCTAGATATTTCCTAAAATTGTTGAATTATTTAATAATTTTTTTCAATAAATTCTTCTGTAATTACATTACATTTTTTTTAAACTACTTTTACTTCCCACCAATAGATTATTCAGTTCATCAACCTACATTTTGGTTGATATATCGTTACCATCCAGGTTATCGTATCGATATCTCTCGTATTCGCGACAAGTCTGAAATTTTTAGGTAACAAAATTTTCTTATTTGTTTAGGACAATAATAAGGTTAGTATTACACGATACCCATGTCTCTATAATACTCTTAATCCGTTGCAAATTTATTTTTTCGATTCCCTGCTTTCTCTTACCTCGCTAACAGTAAAATATAATTGCAATCACAGATCTTTAAAATCATTAACTTTTATACACACGGTAAACTCGCAGTTCGTATAATATCGAAAAGTTTTCACACTTATATATGAACGGATCATAGTTATGAAGCAAAATTAGAAAATGCATGTTATATGCTTCTAAGAAATCGTAATATTCTCTATTCACTTCAACGTTCAAATATGCAATATCTATATAGGTATAATGTCAAAGATATCTTTCCAACAATTTGAATATTAATGAGAGTAAGTACGCTAACGGGATCTTATTAGAAATTCTTGTAAATAAATTATAATAGTAACCCAAAAATCATTTGAAATATATTTAAAACTTAATTATTTTATTACACACTTGCTTGTATTTATACAAAACTAGCGGCTCACCCTCGCTTCGCTCGGGTTCGTCGCTAGGTACGTTTTAAATAGATATAAAAAGAAAAAATCTTTCTTTCTCACATTTTAATTATATGTTTTAATACTTACCTATTCCGGACTAAGAGAAATCCAAAAATTAAAATATCATAAAAATTGGAACGCGGTCGAACGGGATAAAAAGTATCCTATGTCCTTCTCCTGGCTCTAAACTACCTCCCTGCCAATTTTCAGCTAAATCGGTTCAGCCGTTCTTGAGTTATAAGCGAAGTAACTAACACGACTTTCTTTTATATATATAGATTGGAGCGTCATTTCGGTGTTTCGGTAGTTATAGATTATAACGGTAGCCCCGTCGAATGGTGTATGTCAAATATTAATTGAATTTTTAAGGGATATAAGTAACTAGAAGAACCCGCGGCTTCGCTCGCGCTTTAAAACTACAACAAAACCTCTAAAAAAACTTTTTAACAAAAAACTAAAAACCGAATTCAAACAAAAGCACTAAAATTAAAAAATAACTGATTGGTAGTTTTCATTTACTATACATACCTAATCAAATATTTTTGAAGTCGGTGCCAGCCGATACAAAGCAAAGCACACCTTCTTTCAGGTGGAAATGGAATGACAGATTGACGTGATTTTTTGTGTGGTGACAGTTGGAGGGCTGGAGAGTGACATAGGCTAATTTTTACCGCGGGAGATTATCTCGTTCCCACGGGGAAACACGTTATAATACAACCCAAAAAAAAATTTATGATCAGAATTACTTGAACCTTGGTATTAATTTTCTTTAAAAAAATAAATTAATACATGTTTCAGCATTTTTCAAAATTCAAAAGGGGGTAAAATAGAGGATGAAAGTTTGTATGAAACCTACCTTTTTAGAGATTTTTTTGTAGTTTTAGCGCGAGCGAAGCCGCGGGTTCTGCTAGTAATGATATAAATTTTCAATACACTTAGCATAATTATAGATTTATAATGTACTCCTGACCGATTTCCTTCACAGCCGCCAATCTCATTGAAACTAGCCATGTGCGCAGGAAATATTGTGCACTAAGTATACGTGCAGACACAAGTATTCTCAAGTCAAATGATGAAAATGTTATCCTATTATTTATATTCGTTTTATACCTATTATATTATAATGAAATTCTCTTTTGGAAACTTAGTTGCATGAACAAAAAATAACGTGTGTGTGTACTTATGTACGCACGTATGAAATTATACTTCTTTAGCGTAACAGAACAAAAATAGCTAAAGATTTCATCCCGTATGTCACAATTCTCTGTTAAAGTAATGATAAATGAATAAAATAATTAAATAAAGCATATTAGGCATATTACAATATTTATAGAATATCATTTAAGGAAAGAATATAATATTATATATCCTTTGTCAAACAATAACAACAGTTACCATGGCAACAAACAGTTATCAGCTAACTTCATCATGTCGCTTTTTGGCTGTCGGTGTGCGCGCATCGTAAAAATTTTACTCTGATATTTTTTCCAAACGTCCTAAAAGAAGTATAACTTCAAAAATATTTATTGGAATATTTATTTAGTATGTATAAAATATTTATATTTAAAATCTAAGAAATTTTAAACGAATCTCGTGTTAATCTATCAATTTGATAATTTGTTCAGCATGGTCTAGTTTATGTTAGTTTTTGCAATTCAGCTATCTATATAGATTTATTATTTTTATGCAGTCATTTTTAAATTCTAGATTTTTCGGTCATAAATATAACGGATCTGCTTAATTGAATCGCTATTTATTTAATTAATATTTCCGCCAGAATTAAGATTGTTCTATTTATGCCTTGCAACTTATTTGTCTCTAAAAATATTTGAAGCGGTTCGTAAACCGGTAGCTAAAGTTTGTACACTGACTCAACAGTCTATGTATAAGGTTTGTGATAAACACATCGCCCCCACAATGCGTTGCCGCATAATAATATTTTGTAGCGATGGAATATGACTTCTAGGCTCGCATTCCGCTGTGATAGTTCTATTTCATGACCCTGACTAATATATCTATTCTTGTCACTCAAGTGCTTGAAATTAAGCAAGGTATATATTCCCACAAAAATGCACGTACATGATACTTGATATCAATACTAATCATAATTACTCAAACAATTACAATCAGTTATCGATACGTAGCTGTTAGAGCATAGAAATCTTTCAAGAACAAAAAAAATTGAGTTTCCAAGTTAGCCAAACATTATAATTTATTAAAACATATACTATTTAATAATAAAATTAATAAAAAATATAGAAATAAAAGACGGCTTCGCATTTCACAAGTTTTGTAACACCACACAACATCAAATACATACATTATTACATATTAAACTCTTGGGTATATAACCCTAAATATTTATTGTAAACCTTGCAAATTGTGTTTATATCAAAATATAAATTTATTTATCTTATTTACGTTTACAGTTACATGAAATAGCCGCCAGCCTATTTACACAATACCAGTTATCGCATATCTGATGCACCTAGTGACTGATAAGAATATCCTAATGAGTAAGACTTTAGACTGAACAAAGCATTGCTGTAATTTAATTAAACCTACATGCCGCAAAAATACACGTGTCTAAACATTGTTCCAAATTAAATGTCTAGTTTTAGTATGCACCATACAAGTAAAACCTGCATTCATTTATACACTCATAACATTCAATAAATCTTATTCGATTATTATCAACAACAAAAACTGTAATATTAGAGTTTTATATTACACACTTAAATTAAATCACATAACAACAAATGTTAATTAAGAAATAAAACAATAAAGGAAACCACCAGGCATTATAATATCGAAACATTTCTTTGCCTCAAATTAAATTGGAAGGTTTAATTACAATCTCAACAATCTGTAATTACGATGCTATTAAATAACATATATTTGATCCCGAAATAAATCAAGGCACCTTTTCCCAAGCCATTAGAGGTAATTGATTTCGGCGTCCTGACCATGAGGTCACACCACAAAAAATAGTTTAAGGCTCGTTTCAGTGAAATGTCATTAAGGCTGTATTAGCAGCTGTCAGTTCGATGTATAAAAACGATTGATATGAGGAAATTGTTAAGGTTCCATCACATTGGGGAGCAGGGCTTTAATTCATTACAAACGGACTCACCTGATTTGCCGGAGCGAGCGCTGCCGAGGACCACTACTCTTATTCGATTAACTGTCATTTTTGTTAGTCTTTAAGCACAGCACTGAATATGTCAATAGGTCATTTAAGGCAATCGTGATTAATATTTGTCGACGGATAGACACGATCGTTTGCGCCAATCAGCAGATGAAAGATGGAGGACGCACGCGCGCACAACGCACTCGCTAGTGAACGACTGCAGCGACACAACGAATTGGCGCATAGCGCAATCTCTACAAGGTACAATCGTCACATATAGAGTGAAATGTGTTTTTTGTTGAACATATTAATTCTAGTTCAATATTACATGTAAAATTTTTAACTAATGAATAATAATTTGAAAATTGAGATATCTATATTCATATTTAAAATTGCTAACCGAATTTTATTCAAGATGCTTTGTACTTTACTTAAACACTATAATTTTTCTTAATTACTCTTTTATAACTGTACATTGGTTTTTAAATATTTAATCTGACATATGACATAAATTCGGACAAGAGCAATAACTTTAAGTAACATCATAAGCAATTAAAGTTGCAAAAAGTAGAGATAGCAAAAAAAGCCATAATCCATCTGTCACTGCTTCGGTAAAACATTAATCTTTATAAGAACTCAATTAGTTGAATTAGAAATACAAACACCAATTGTGACAAGTTTGTCAGCAAACATTACGGTTACGGTGAACGTGAAGATGTGAGCCGTGAGTGAACTTAATCTCTGAAACGATGCCAATCTCCAATAACACGGTGTCGCCTCGATGCAAAAACGATAACATAAATGATTGGAGTATATACGAGTATATTCTTAACGAATAATATATTACAGTACATCTGAAAGATAAATAATTTTGGTGAGTCAAAATATTATAAAGTAAAATATGATTAATATAAACCTATTATACAGCCACACAAAATTAAACACACTATACCTAAATTGCGTAATTATGATATTTTGTTCCAAAACTGTCAATCAAAATTAGTTATAACTTTTTATAAAAATAAAATCCAATATCGATGAATACTATGTTTTGTTGTATTTTAATAAGGCCCGTGTTTTATTTCTGACAATGAATTTTAACAAGCTCTTTTTAGTCCAAGCTATTGTCTACATTCTTTGGAAACAAAAGATACATAAATAAACTATTTTAAGAATTTATTATAGATTCAACATAAGATGGATATAAAAAATCGAAGTTACGAGTATTACAACACAACATTTTTGATAAAGGTGGAAAGTACATTTAATTTTTTACCGTACTCGTATCACGTATCTTATGTTAGTATACACCTTATTGCTTGATAAACAAAAATAACGAATATAACGAATATATATTCAGAGCTGGTAACATTTAAATAAAAAAACAGGCATAATGCGGGCAGACGACACCTGCAGAGATTGTAAGACTTCTCTGCGGTTTCGAGCACCCTTATACCTTAAACCCTTCATCCTTATACTGGGCTCAATTCAAAATGGACACATTGACTATATTATATCAATTTATCGTATAAAATTTTTACTTAAAAAAATATTTTGTGGAGGCTTAGTAATGTTGAAAGAAACAAAAATATGGCATTACTAAAATGTGTAGAATATAGATATTATATTTACTATAATTTCCACGTTAATGGTTAGTATAATGAACTTTATGAAGACTATGTATGACTAAATATCTATATATGACTATCAATGATAGATAATTAAGCAAAAATTTTAAATTTTACCAATTTATAACACCCGCTTTACAATAATATTTTAATTGGGCTTATCGCCGATGACGTGACGGAAACGACGTCACGGCTACTGTTACAAAACCAAAGGTATTCGGTAGCCATCCGATATTTAACGCTTAAAGCAAACGTTTGACATGACAAACTCTATAAAAGAATACGCTACAAAAATAAGTATATATTATTCTTAGTGCAATTTAATACTTGTGGGTAGTGTTAATAATTTGGTAGGTACACTGAAATATCAAAACTATATTTAGATTGTAAAACCACAAATGTTAAATTTATTTGCTCAAGCTTCACAAGGTACGATTTAACAAAAAACCTGATGACTGTGGTAGGTGTCGTAAGCAATTATCAGTTCGCAAATTATTTATAACAATATTAGTTTTGGGAGATATTACATTTTCACTGCTAATTATATCCGTTAAACGTATTGCAAAATAGCTTATTAAATAAATTTTTTTGGAGTTCCGTCCAAATGAGTAAGATATGGAACCCTTGCGGAATTACTTCGTATCGGTCGATTTGATCCTCTATCACTGTGTTTTCCCTAAATTTATTGCAGACAGTTGATTACGTACACTATCATATATCTCGTTCGTGTAGTTGACTATCGTTTAATATATAGGATTCTGAGTTTGGAAATCACATTAAAAAAAGATTATAAGTAAAGAAAATACGCAAAACCAAAAAATAATATGGAACATAGAGCTTTATTTAATTTATAGAAAATATTAAAAATGCCTCATTCTTTTCAAATTTTCATAGTGTGCGCAGCCTATATTTTAAGTAACCAAATTATCCATTTTTGTTTATCCTTGTATATGACAAAGGTATCTAATCCCAAATCCCAAAAAAAAAAACATTTTAACAAAAACTTTACATGTTTCTATATCACTAGCTGTATTACTTTACTTTCTTTCTTAGCAAAATAAGTTATTTATATAGAAAAATATGAACATTTTCAGCACTAACAAGGTTATTTTAAGAGCGAGTATTACATTAATAATCTGCTTTCCAAAACAGAAACAATCAATCTTTTAAACTAATTACCCACAAATATAAAAAAAAGTGTTGTAAAGTTGTCCTGAGAGTAGCCCCAATTTTACTTTCAAGTTTTTGCACATATTCTTAAATGGATTTATCTTCATCAAAAATAATACAACTAAGGAAACACTTTCATTCTGAACTTGAATATGTCATTATATCAATTTAAAAGATTTATAACTTACCAGCAGTCACTTTCAACCACTGAAAAGCTTCTTAATCAATAGTGTTGTCCAATTAAAATATTGTATGTATATAACGATAGAAAAACATGGCAATTATATTAAAATGTACCTACAAATCATTTCGTTATTTATTCAAATGTTTTATTAAATGTAGTTTGTCTCCCTCGTAGTAAAGTGGCTTAAAAATATAAAGTATTTAAAAAAATTAGAATTTCATTACACTAATAAGATGCTACAGGATAGAAATAAAAACTTAAAACACTAATATAAACTTGAAAACCAGTAGTCACGAGTCATTAATCTATCAGGAATGATTGACGGGACTTTAAGAGAAAAATATTAATAATAACTTTAAGTAAAATATCGGGCATGAATGGAAAATAAAAAAGTTAAATGTCAAAAGGAATATAAATTGGGGTTTAGTTTATTTTTATACAATATATTATTTTTCTTATATTATATTAAATCGTAACATCTACATACATACCTCCAAGAATCTAAGAACCTTGCAAGTTTTTTGTTGGATGTTTTCCTCCTTAGAAAGACTTGGAATGAGCACAAGGCTGTTTATTTTGTATAAACCAGAGGTCACGATAAGTGATTAATTTTACATTAACTATTACTTACCTATACATATTATGAACTAACACATCATTTTTAAACTAGTTTTATAATATATTTTTTTGATTTTTCGGCATTTTTCTAACATACGTTAAAGTAGTAATTTTTTATAATACTTTCTTAGATTTACGCGAATACTTGACATTTTAAATAAAACTATCTTTTCGGATTTTTTCGCGAATTTATTTTGATTTTTGGTTCCCGACGTTTCGAATGCTTTACAGCAATCATGGTCAGTCTCTCCCGTGACCATGATTGCTGTAAAGCATTCGAAACGTCGGGAACCTAAAACCAAAATAAATTCGCGAAAAAATCCGAAAAGATAGTACTTTTTATTTATTATTAATCGTGAGAATCCCACGAGCCTAGGAATTTTTTTTTGAAAGTGCTACTACGCGAATGCTACCTAGAAAAACTAAAACTACAAAAGAAAGTTCGTTTTGATTTTAAAATAACTTTATTATAATTTATAGCCCATCGCTAATTTTTTAACAACGATCGGAGCTAATAAAAGCAATAAATATCTCTATTTAGTTATCTAAGTGAAAGGCTTAATTAATAGAGAGCATTAATATAAAATTTATACGCAAAGGCAACACTACTCAGTAGAACATTTTTTGAGAGTTTTATGACTTCTAAATTTTAATATATTATACATTTATTGATATCATCTTCAATATAATTTAACCGCTATTATAAGGTTATTATTACGTTATTAGTAGATAGGAAGTGTTTGGTGGAAATGGCTTCTACAGTTATAAGATTAGCTTACTATATAAATTGATACAATTGGATTGGCCTTGACTTAATGTAGTTCTTCTAATAAGCTTTTCTAGTAGTCGAAGAGCCCACCGTGTAAAAGTTTCATGGAGAAAATTCATGGATAATAATTTGTTTTATATGAGTGTATTCCTGTGGGCTCCACGCTTTAAAGTTTCAATGCGGGGATAGCCATCTTAATCATACGTACACTGCAAGTAAACTAAAACTTGCAGCAATAATATTTGCCGTCGACCGTGGAAACCATTCTTCTGTAGGCTTTTTTGGATTTCGTGATCCACAGGAACCAGCCACTGTATGCTGAGACACCATAACATAAACTGTGACTCATCGACTCTTATAGTGGAAGCTTAATAAAGGGAATTTGACCATCTTTAATTGTCTATCTCAGAACATAAGCACGCTAAAATATTACTACTGTACTTTGTGTTAAAAAAATATTCATCTACTTGGCACATCAAAAAATTTAAGTTCATTGACTGAGAAATTGGCGTATGTACGTCATACGACAATCTACTACTTGAATTGTTTATATAATACCTATAATAATACAATAAATAAGTTACGATTGATAAACCATGATCTCTGTACTATTCACGTCATCGACGCTCAGTTGTAATTTGTCATAACGACATGCGTCATAAAATAAAACTATTAGAAAGAAATTTGTTTCA